TCCCTTTTGTCTATAACCAGAGTCTGGTTGGAGTCTCTGGTCAGCTTGAGGTCCTGTGGCTTGATTGGTTTCTTAAGTCAGTTTGTTGGAACAGGCAGGAAAATGCTCTGCTTTACCCAAGATTTTGAGGTCCCCCTCCCAGGTTAGTTTACTGGGAGGGTGATCTGCTTTGAGAATCACAAAAGAGGGGGATGCAGTGATGAGGCTAGGTTCTGGGTAGAGTTGAGGCCTTTCAACGAACAGTAGCTTTTCCCTGGGGCTATTTTGTGAAAAAAAACTCACAGCACCCAGCCTGGAGCCATTCTCAGGGTTTCTGTTTTTCAATTGATTGTGGTGGCTGCTAGAGGGAGGGGCAGCCTCTGGCTCTGGCCACCCAGCGAGGAGAGCCACTCCAGTGGCTGGTGCCTGAGCTGGGCGACCCCTCCCTGGATGGAACTGAGTCTGTGAGGTCACCTCGCCGCCAAGTTCCTGTGACCTGCCAAATGACTAGCTCTATTCCAAGGCCTGAGCTGGAGCTAGCCGCTCCTCCGAGCTTTGTCGGTATCCAAGATGGAGATCACCGGTGCTGGGGGGGGAGGGGTGGCCTTCCCTCCTCTGCTCCCAGAGGAGTGAGGAAGTGGGGCTTCTACTCACGCGGAGTCTTGGATCTCGGGTCGTCTCTGGTCTGCAAAGTGCAGGATGAAGTTGTCCGCTCCTTGTCGGTTCTTGCTGGTGTTGAGTAGAATCCGCTCGTCCGCTGCGTCTGGCTCCTTCGTCCCGGACTGCGTCTCAGGTATGCCTCCGCGGCGGTGGTCGCCGCTGCGACCCTGCCGCCGCAGCGGCAGCTGCTCAGATGTGTCTGCTTGGCTTCCCCTCTCTTGACTAACTCTCTGTCCTGTGATGGCACACTTGGTGTGATTCTCTGGCTTGGGACTGTTCACTGGAACTCTGAAACTGTTTTCTATGCAAGAGCTTGTTCAGATTCCAGCTTCTCCTCCGCCATCTTCCCGGAACTCTGCCTGACAGAAAGGAACCTTACTTCATTGTTGGTGGGAATGTAAACTTGTTCAACCACTTGGGAAAGCAGTATGGAGGTTCCTCAAAAGACTCCACATAGAGCTCCCCAATGACCCAGCAATCCCACTTTTGGGCATTTACCCAAATGATCACAAACAAGGCCACACTAAAGCTACCAGCACAACTATGTTTATTGCAGCATTATTTACCATAGCTAAGATATGGAACCAACCCAGATGCCCCTCAGTAGATGAATGGATCAAGAAGATGTGGTATATATACACAATGGAATTCTATGCCTCCATCAGAAAGAATGACATTGCCCCATTTGTTAGGAAATGGAAAGGCTTGGAAAAAATTATATTAAGTGAAGTAAGCCAGGCCCAAAGAAACATAGGTCCCATGGTTTCCCTTATTTGCAATATCTAGTATAGGTATGAGTCAAGCGGAAAAAGTCAGATAATGTGATGTTAGGAAAACAAAACCTCAAATATGTATTTTAATGTTTTTGTTTCTTTCATGCATGTGTTTCTAATGCATTTATAAGATTATTTCTTTGTTGCTTTGTGTGTCCCTCCCCCACAGTGTAACCCCTGCTTTCACTATATTTGATGTCAGTATAACATGTGGAGGAGACGGGGACAAACAAGTCGTTTAAGGATTCAGGTGGACCTGTTGCAACAATGAGAAGTACAAAATGTCATGTCAAAACCAGCTTTACAATGTCGGTGGGGGGGGGGAGGGGGGGTATGATTGGGTGGGAGGGAGGGGGGAGGCTGGGAAGGGAGGTGAAGGGTAAACAAAGGAGGAGGATGCAATGCTTGGTAAGAAATGTATGCATTATCCTGCCCATGTAATTGTAACCCCTCTGTACAGTATGTTCTCAAATAAAATAAAATAAAATTAAAAAAAAAAAAAAAAAAAGAAAGGGATTAAGACTTGCTCTTGGCTCTGAATTCCATGACATCATAAAGAGGAATCAATATCTGAAGGAACTGTTTCTATGACCCAATTAGATTCTTTTCTCATTACAATCACTCAGGAGTGTTGGGAATCTGAGCAAGTGTTCAAAAATCTCTTACTTTAGCAGGGAGCCGGTAGCTCACGCCTGTAATCCTAGCTACTCAAGGCTGAGATATGAAGATTGGAGTTCAAAGCCAGGCCAGGCAGGAAAGTCTGTGAGACTCTTATCTCCAATAAACCACTCTAATACCAGAAGTGGCGCTGTGGCTCAAGAGGTAAGGAACTCACCTTGAGCTGAAGAGTGCAGGGACAGAGCCCAAGCCCAGAGTTCAAGCCCCATGACCGACCAAAACAAAACAAAAAAATCTCTTACTTTCAATTCTTGCTCTTTCCTTCCCTTAGGGCAGGGTGCAGATTACAGGAAACAATAAAAATTTAGGAGTTGCAAATTATTTAACTAGATAAAAGTAGAGTTAGGGACCACCTGCCTTTTCTCTTGGTTTACCAAGTTGAGTAACTTGGGCAGGGATAACATTTCCACAATTCCAAATGTGGATCTTTGGCAGAGAGTAATCTGTACATTGTATTATTTCTTTTTTTTCTTTTTTTTGGGTCTGGTCGTGGGTCTGAACTCTGGGTCTGGGCGCTGTCCCTCAGCTCTTCAGCTCAAGGCTAGCGCTCTACCACTTGAGGCACAACGCCACTTCCGGCTTTTTCTTTTTGCTTATGTGGTGCTGAGGAATCGAACCCAGGGCCTCATGCATGCAAGGCAAGCGCTCTACCACTGAGCCACCTTCCCAGCCCCTACATTGTATTATTTCCATGTTAGATTTAACACCAGGATATCAGTCCCCAACCGAGATTTCTGTCACCATTCTCTCTGATCTGTTCTTCCTACGTGACCTCCTTCTCTATGAAGGCGTTTGTCCACCTAACCACTCTGTAATGTTTAAGCACAATCTTCAAGAGCACATTCCCTCTCGGGTCAATTTGACCAAAGGATGAAGTCAACCAAAATCCTAAAGAGAATTCTGAAGGCATAGACCAATCTCTCCATGTCTCTTGTAACAACTATTCTACTCTCAACTTCTGTCACAAATTGGTTCTATTTCTGTTAGCTTCCATTTTTGTGTGAGATCGTTCAATGTCTTTCTCTGTCTGGCCTTTCAAGAGATTGCAACTGACAGCCTTCTTCTCATCACAAAGAAATATATGTGTTCCAGGTGTTGGATATGAAGTCACTGCACAATGAAAACATGGAACATAATGTTGTAGATAAAAATACTATATGTATACCTACCTATGCAGTAGAAAGTGACAAGGATCCCTTTTTATCTGAATTTTACACTAAATTTCTATCATAGTTCTACCTCTATCTACTTGTCTCTCTCATCCCTTGGATTTCTGTAACCATCTTCTAACTAGCTTTAGTCCTCATTTTTTCCACATTTCTAAATTTTTATATTAACCACACATTATGTTTAACAAAACCATGTCTTATGTTTTGGGGCAACTATCCTCAGGAAGCTGAAGAAAGACAGGCTCTTCACTTAATCCACACTGGTGTTTTATTATAACTCACTCAGCAGAACAACAGAATGGGATAAGAATGAATCACCAGAGGTTAATTCAATATAAAGTAAGCACTGCAGTCATTTTGGGGTTACTCATCCTAAACCAAATGCTTAAGACTCTTGTATTTATTTGCCCACCAAAGAAACCAGAAGTGGAGCTGTAGCACTAGCATTGAGCAAAAATGCTTCAGGAAAGAGAAATGCGATGCCAAATATAAACCATTGGTTCAATACTAAAAAAAAGAAATGCTTCAGGACAATGCCAAGGCTTTGAGTTCAAAATGGAGGACTTGAATGTTTCTGAATGTTTCACGAACTTGGGGACAAAAGGTGATGAGACAGATTTTAGTCCTGTGCACATTTTTTGGGGGGGGAGTGGTTCAGTCATGGGGCTTGAACTCTGGGCCTGAGTGCTGTCCCTCAGCTCTTCAGCTCAAGATTCGTGCTCTACCACTTGAGTTACAGCACCACTTCCGTTTTTCTGGTGGTTAATTGGAGATAAGAGTCTCAGGCACTTTCCTGCCCCAGCTGGCTTTGAACAGCGATGCTCAGATCTCAGCTTCCTGAGTAGCTAGGATTACAGGCGTGAGCCACCGGCGCCCCGCTCCTGTGCGCATTTTGTAATAAAGATCTTCCAATCAAAAGCTGAACTGGGAATAATTTATCATTTCTGTTATTTCATATGGATCACATATACAGTGGGAAACTTTAGGGGAGCAATGGAGAAATTGATGCTCTCATGGTCTTGGCTTAAATCACAACAGTCTTTCCCCAGATACTGTTCCCCAAACCACCTTGAGATAATCTGACTCCAGTCTCAAAGGGCTGGACCTCTTATTTCTGAGAAGAATTTATAAAATATGTTGAAAACCATTCCTAATTATAAAAGACACAAGTCAACAGCTTTACTATCTTAATTACTTGACAAGTTGTAAGTAATTAATGCGCATTATTTGTGTCCAAATCTTTTGGATAAACTTCAGTTACATCATCCCTATTCAACACAAGGAAAGGATGAGAAATGTTGGTTTAATGAGTGTAAAAAATGGTTTCCCATTAGAACTCACTTACCTTTGCCATTAAGGATTTTTCTGTATAATTCACAGGTTTCCTACAAAGATTTTTCTGCATTGTGTTTCTTTCCCATGTGAGTCTTCTAAGGCTTGCTGAAGGTTACTTCAGCTTGAGACTTTCTCTAATGTTTTCATTTACAGAAATTTTGTCATTTCTCCCGGTCTCTGATACCAGTTGGAATATGACTTCTGGCTAAATGTCTTTCTACATTTATTATACTCAGTTTCTATTGTGTCTGTTGTCAGATTCACTGAAGACTTTCATTGCAGCCCTTCCTACTTGGTCTAGTGAATTTAAACTGCTCAGAAGTGTATGGTAGAACAAAAGAAGATGACCACCAGGGGAAATTGTGATTGGCTCACTGATATCAGGACTAGAGACTACTATTCAAACTTGTTTCCTAAGACGGCTATGAAGATGTTTCACATAAAGGCTTGGGCTGAGTATGTTGTGGAATGGGCTGCAAAGGACCCTTATGGTTTTCTTACAACAGTTATTTTGGCTCTCACCACACTATTCCTAGCAGGTGCCATCCCATCCTGGAAATTGGCCAAGATGATTGAAGCCAGAGAGGAGGAGCAAAATAAGAAACAAAAACAAGATGGGCTGGGAAGGTGGCTCAGTGGTAGAGTGCTTGCCTTGCATGCCTGAGGCCCTGGGTTCGATTCCTCAGCACCACATAAGCAAAAAGAAAAAAGCTGGAAGTGGCACGGTGGCTCAAGTGGTAGAGCGCTAGCCTTGAACTGAAGAGCTGAGGGACAGTGCCCAGGCCCAGAGTTCAGGCCCCACAACTGGAACGTCCCCCAACAAAAAACCAAGAAAATATTGCAAAAGCTAAACAACTAAAAAAGGAATGGAGTGAACAAGCTCTGCACCTAGAGGAGAATCTTTTGGAAAATTATGCAGCTTTGGGCTCATTGTTTTGATTTCATCATAGGATTATTTAGTAAATTAAATCTGATTATATAGAAGATTCATGTTCTGATCTCAATATTCATGTTTAGTTTTGTGTGTGAAAGTTTGTTGGTATCTATTGAAATTATAAGTACATTGTATTAATCTGAAAATACAAAATCATAAATATTCCAAAATCTGAAACTTTTGTGTAGACATGATTTACAAATGAAAATTCTGCACTTGACCTGACCTTGTAAGGGGTTTTATTCAAAACACAGACACCCTAAAAATATTGTATGGAATTGCCTTTAGGCTATGTGAAATGGCAATGAATATGATGTTGAACTAAAACACTTCTGGTCCCAAGCATTTCAGAAAAGGAATACTTGCAGTACAGATTCTTTATCAATGACTTAATGATTTCCCATTTTGCAGGTGATATAATGAAGTCAAACATCCTGTGGAGAATGATGAATTTACATATGCACTCCATTTAAATAATGGCTTAAAATTGGGCCTTCTTCTAGACCAAGGATACTAGGAATGTACAAGTCAAAATTGCTCTCTTTGAGGTAAAGTTTGTTTTGGCTTCAAGACATACAGTGTATTAATCATATTTTTTAAATCATTTTTGCTAACGAATGGAGTAATTTCTGATTTTTCAGAGCAAAATGATATGAATGGGAACATCTATTTTTCTGCATTTTTCTGTTAGTCTTTGAGACAACTGGTAGTTATGAAGATATTATGCATTTTTTCCAAAAGATTTATTATTTTGACTGTAAAATATCTACTGGATGTAACAGTTTTTGTATTTTTGAACACCACCATTTTCTTAGATGAAGTGTTGAGTAACACTTTTTTTTTTTGGGTCCGGTAGTGGGGCCTGAACTCTGGGCCTGGGCACTATCCCTCAGCTCTTCAGCTCAAGGCTAGCGCTCTACCACTTGAGCCACAGCACCACTTCCAGCTTTTTTTTTTTGCTTATGTGTTGCTAAGGAATCGAACCCAGGGCCTCATGCATGCAAGGCAAGCGCTCTACCACTAAGCCACCTTCCCACTCCGAGTAACACTTTTTTAAAGCTTGTACCAAAAATGCCAAATACTACAATTTTAGTGTTCGTTTTTTTTAATGCTAACTAGAGCTGTGGAAAAGCTAAAATGTCATAAGATAATCTGCTAACTTATGTATAGCACTCGGTTTTATTAAGTTTTTGACTCATGTACTGATATCACAAGTTTCAACACGTTTGTGGTCAACAAGTTGGTGCAAACTAAAAATTCTGGTTATTTTGAAGAGTTCCCAAGGAGTTAAGTCATACTAATTAAGCAATAATACTAGAATTTTTGTCTATTAAACATGGCTTTTCTAAATGCATACCCAAGTAATTTTAGTCACTGCAGTATTTGATAGCTTATATTGTGTTCTGACCTCTGATAAAAAGTAATTATCCAAAGCTCTTACTGAAAAAATGAAACTAGTTATTGAAATAAAATTTAATTTAATATGTTTAATAAAGAAAAAAATAGGAAGTGGTGCTGTGGTTCAAGTGGTACAGTACTAGCCTTGAGCAGAAGAGCTAAGGGACAGCTCCTAGCTAGGCCCAGAGGTCAAGCCCCACAACTGACAAAAATAAATAAATAAGGCCTCTTAGGGGCTGGGGATGTGGCCTAGTGGTAGAGTGCCTGCCTAACATGCATGAAGCCCTGGGTTTGATTCCTCAGTACCACATAAACAGAAAAAGCCAGCAGTGGTGCTGTGGCTCAAGTGGTAGAGTGCTAGCCTTGAGCAAATTAAGCCCAGGGACAGTGCCCAGGCCCTGAGTTCCAGCCCTAGGACTGGCAAAAAAAAAAAAAAAGAAGAAAAAGTCATTGCACATTTGTCATATTTGTTGATTTTCTTACTCCTATGTGAGCCAGTTCTTTGATGAATACTGAGGTATGACTTCCAGGTAAAATAATTTCCACATTTGTTACATTTATATGGTTTCTCTCCTGTGTGTTTTCTGATGCAAACTGAGATGACTTCTTGAATTGTTATGCCTGCTGAGTTGTGACCTACAAATAAGTCTTTCCACATTTGTTGCATTCATAAGGTTTCTCTCCTGTGTGTGTTCTCTGATGAAAAGTGAGGTATGACTTCTGTGTGAAAGACTTTCCACATTTGTTACATTCATAAGGTTTCTCACCTGTGTGAAATCTTATATGTGTATTGAGATGTGACTTCCAGGTGAAAGACTTTTTACATTTCTTACATTCATGAAGTTTCTTTCCTGTGTGTCTTTTCTGATGAACAGTAAGTTCTGCCTTTTTGGTGAGACATTCCACATTCGTTACAATCATAAGGTTTCTCTCCTGTGTGTTTTCTCTGATGAACAGTAAAGTGCGTCTTTTTGTTGAAAGACTTTCACACATTTGTTACATTTGTAAAGTTTTTCACCTGTGTGAATTCTGTTATGCATGCCAAGGTATGACCACCACTTGAAGGTCTTTCCACATTTGTTGCAAGAATAAGGATTTTCTTCTATGTGTGTTATCTGATGCACAGTGAGGTATGACTTACGTCTGAAAGACTTTCCACATTTGTTACATTTATAAGGTTTCTCACCTGTTTGAATTCTTCTATGTGTATTGAGATGTGACTTCTGGGTGAAGGAGTTTTCACATTTCTTATATTCATAAGGTTTCTCTCCTGTGTGTGTTCTCTGGTGGACATTAAGGTTTGTCTTCTGGGTGAAAGACTTTCCACATTCATTACATTCATAAGGTTTCTCACTTGTGTGAAGTCTGTTATGCCTACGGAGGTGTGATGCCCACTTGAAGGTCTTTCCACATCTGTTACATTCATAAGGTTTCACTTCTGTGTGAGTTCTCTTTTGCCTGCTGAGAGCCGACCTCTGGGTGGAAAAGGTGCTACATTTCTCATATTCATAGGATTTCTCTTCTGGAGGTGTTTTCAGTTTGCAACTCAGGTCTGACTTCTCAGAGATAGATTTTACATAATGGATATTCTTATTGGACTTAGCCTCTGGCTATTTGCTCTCAGGGTTTGTGAGGTGTATTTTTTTATTCAAAGATTTCTTATATTTACTACTTGTACAAGGATTCTCTGCCTTGTATATTTTCTGCCTTATATATAGCAACTGTAGGTCTTAAGTAGAATGCTTTTCCAAATGCAGTCCATTCAGGTGTTTTCCTTCCACCATGAAGTATTTCTGGAGAAAGGAAAGCAGTTATATCTCAGTCTTCTCTATATTCAAATGGTTATAGGAGGGCTGTCCCACAAAAACCCAATTGTGTATGAAAAATATGGTCTCCAAGTTTAATCCCTTCCTTCTCTACCATTTTCCAAATATTGTAGCTTATTTGGACTCTCAACATTTTGACTAAAATGCTCAGAAAAGGGGCTAGGATGTAGCTCAGTGGTAAAGCACTAGCCTAGCAAGTGTAACGTCCTGGGTTCAGGCACCAGTACCAAGAAAGGAAAGACACACACACACACACACACACACACACACACAAATACAGTTAAATGCTCAGAAAATCTGAAGGATTCTTCAATTACAGGAGACACACCAAGCCTATATGCAGCATGCATCTTAACAGGCTCACTACAGAGAAGCATGTTCTGGCACACAATAAACTCCTGAATCCTTATCTCTAAGGAGTTCCCATTAATTCTAATCAGCTGTGGCTTATGTTTTGCGCTCATAATAGCAGTTGTTACTAATCTCACATTTTCCTCCACTGTTACTATTTGTGACTGCTACTTCACACAGACATTCATCTGGACTTACCTGGCAGGTCTTAATCATATCCTCCATTTCGTGGACACTTAAGTGAATCAGAGAAAAAGACAAAAATATAAATGAAATCCAAAGACTTCTTTTTTTTTTGGGGGGGGTGGCCTAGTCATGGGGCCTGAACTCTGGGCCTGGGAGCTGTTCCTCAGCTCTTCAGCTCAAGGCTAGCGCTCTACCATTTGAGCCACAGCGCCACTTCCGGCTTTTTGCTTATGTGGTGCTGAGGAATCGAACCCAGGGCCTCATGCATGCAAGGCAAGCACTCTACTACTGAGCCACCTTCCCAGCCCCCCAAAGCCTTCTTAATGTAAACGTAAAGACATTTTCTCCAATTCTAAATGTTAAGAGATTAGAGACACATGCTTTTTTCCCAATATATTAAGACAGCAATACTAATATTTTACAATAGAAAATGTTTTTCTGTTTTAGACTTTTCTTTTTTTACATGAGAAGAAATACTCAAACTCTCAACTGTGAGAGTTTTATACTGAGAACTAATTATCTGCCTTTAGTAGACTTTAAGTTGTTTTTCTCAAATATTATTTTGTTTGGTCATAATACCTGCTTGGTTTTCTTTTATTTTCTAGAAATAATTTATATATTGTGCTGTTTTGCTTCTCAACAATTAGGTGAAGTACAGAAATATTTTCTATTTTTGGAGACCATAAAAGTGTTTTTTGTTGTTGTTGTTTTGTTTTTGAGTCCAGTCGTGGGGCCTGAACTCTGGGCCTGGGCTCTGTCCCTCAGCTCTTCAGCTCAAGGCTAGTGTGCTACCACTTGAGCCATAGCACCACTTCTGGCTTTTTTTTTCTGCTTATGTGGTGCTGAGGGATTGAACCCAGGGCCTCGTGCATGCAAGGCAAGTGCTCTACCACTGAGCCACCTCCCAGCCCAATATGAGTGTTTTATACATCCCTTTGCCTTTTATCTAAGCAGGAATGGTTCTTGAGAGTACGGTTTTATAGCTACATCTGTGCAGTTCTAACTTTTCACTAAGAATTACTTAAGGTATTTGAGGGAATTTTTAAAATTTGTTTCTCTCCCTCTTACAAAAAGTCTCATCCAAATTTCTTTTCTGACACTCCTACTGCTCAGAACCATGGAAGACCAATGATACTCCAGTTTAACACCCAGATAATCATCCTATCTAGACAAGAAGCTTTGGTTCTGAATCTGAGTCTTTGCCCACCACCACTGATAAGCCATTTTTCTTATTGGAGGATAGCAGCCCTAGCATACATCATACGTGCATAGTCCTAGTTTCAAAGAAAATGAAATGTCATTTCCTATGTTTCTAAATTTCTTTTTCCCTTTCAATTCCAAACCTTAATCTACTACCACACTGAATTCATTTTATCCCCACATGAATTCTTGATTCACAAGTCTTTGAGACAAAGGATCACCTAGTTCTCTGCCACACTGGACTCAGTGGAACTAGGAACATTATTGCTCTGTACAGTGAAAGATGAATTTACAAACTGGCTCCAATATCACTATGAAAGATACTTTAACTCACCTGTGAAATTCTTGTCTGAAGCTTCTCCTATCCATGATTCTGCACCTTGCTTCAGGCTGATGATCGATTTAGGTTGAGGAACATAGTGCCCTGTAAATAAGAAATATGGAGAACTTTTGCTTGTGCTGGGTCATCATTCTTAAAAAGTCTCAGACATCCTATTCACAAGGTTGCTACTAAATCTTGTTTCTCATTTTTCATTGGCTCCATGGTTGCCTTTCCCCCAAGTTTGGAATTATTTTGCCAGTTGTGTGGCTTGAACTCAACTCTTGCTCAAAGCTATCATTCTAACAGTTTTGAGTCCCAGCTCCATGTCCAGTTTCTGAGTGGTCAAGTGGAAATAAAATCCTCATGGGCACTTTTTTTTGCCTTTGCTATCCTTAATCCAAAATCTTCAGATTTCACTCTCTTGAGTAGCTAGGATTACAGGCATAAACCATTGCACCCAGTGCCAGGCTTGGTTTATAATGCACATTTTAAATTAGTGGATTCCACATCATACTTCCAATAGTGATAAGATTTCTATTCTAGATTGTATATCCACCTGCAACAATCACCTCAAGTTTGGGAAGACAGTCTCCTGTTACTGGAACATAGTTTAGAACTTTTCTCAAACTGCTGTTTTGGCCTCTTGAAGAATAAGAATAAAACTGCCTCAGGAGTTACATAATTAAATCAAAGTTTTTCTTAGAAAGAAGTGATACTTCACATGGACTGGAATCTTACAACTTAATAACATACTCATATATTTACAAAAAACAAGCACTTGACCTTGGTAGCTAATTTAAGTGTTGCTCACTCAAGGACACCAGATTGCTGTAGGTCTCTAGCATTACATCTCTATATAGGATCCTCTGAGAAATATCCAGTTCCTGCCACTCCTTCCAGCTGATGTCCACAGCCACATCATCAAATGACACCAGCTTCTGTAATGGTACTTTTCCATCAAGTAATTAAGTAGTTAGTCAGAAGTTATAAGGGCACCAATTCTGGAATTTCATTCTTCTACATGGATGCTCTTCTCTTACATAAAATATTTGGAGCTTGCAATGTTGTCTACTCAGTGAAAGAAAGAAAAATCAAAGTAGAAATAATTGCCACTATACTAACTTGGTAATTACTAATACAAAGTTTCCCTAATACATCAGTATATATTTCTGGTGCTAGCAATAGAGATAATATAACAATTCTAAAGCACTTGCAATCTGGCATGACATCAGTAAGACTAAGTAGGTGTCTGAAAGAGTATGTTTAGCTTATTTTGATAAAATTTACTATATATCAGGGTAACAATGAATAATTGTTCCTGCATTTTCATGTTGAGCTTCACTGAAAATCCTATTTAGATCTTCTATTAAAAAGTGCTTTCACGGGGCTGGGAAGGTGGCTCAGTGGTAGAGCACTTGCCTTGTGTGCATGAGGCCCTGGGTTCAATTCCTCAGCACCACATAAGCAGAAAAAAAAAGCCAGAAGTGGCGCTGTGGCTCAAGTAGTAGAGTGCTAGCCTTGAGCTGAAGAGCTGAAGGACAGCGCCCAGGCCCAGAGTTCAGGCCCCACGACTGGATTCCCCCCCCCCCCAAAAAAAGTGCTCTCACAGCGATTAGAACATATTCAGGACATCATATGAAATACATACCACATTAGTAGATCTACAAAAAGCACAGTGACCAGGTGAATATTAAAGTAAGTAACAGTACTCAAGAAAGGAGGTGATGATTTGGCTCTTATATGATTTGACTTATTTTCCACATAAAAATATCCTTGTTAACCATTTTTGTTATTAAATTTCTGGAGATTGTGGTCATAGAAACACTGATACTCTCTTCCTATGTAAAAAGGAACTGCTAGCATAAACTTTTGTGAACACTGCTTACATCCTACTATACACAATATGGGTGGGTAGAGGAATAAAATATTTCTTGACCAGATTTTAATAGGCCTTCATGGAAGGATGGAGGCAAATGGATAAAGGCTTAGGTAACATTTATGATAACAAAACATGTGAAATATGACTATCTCAAGCAGGATAGAGAAAAAAACTATAAAGGGGGATGTGATCTAAAAATATAGAAGGAAATTTTATGTTAGACTGAAATATAGTACTAATTTGTTGTGCAGAGGCTAAAAAGGGACATTTTTACTCCCATTTTGTCCCCCATTACAGATGAAGAATGGCCAACAATACTATCCAATCCAGCCATGTTTGACAATACCAGAAGTGAATACTGAGTAAAACACCAAAAGGAAATATATCTGTAAAATTTGAAAGAAAATAACTTTCAATTCACAACCCATTAGGCAAAGCAACTCTTCAAAAATGTAGATTGAATATATTTTCAGAGAAAGATAATTCATTAATAACACATTTACATTTTAAGAGTGTTACAAGAAATTATACTTCAAGAAAATAACAAAAAGATGCCAATTATTGCAACTCAACTTCTGCTCCTTAGTCAACTGGGACCAGGAGCAACACAATAATGGAGACCAGACCCTGAGGTTTGGGGTACCAAGGAATCTGTAGCCTTCTGCAGCCTTCTACAACAGATCCCAAGGTTCCATTAGCCAAAATTTTTATTGGGCTTGTGCAAGGAAGTAAGGTATAAATTTCAACATGTGACATTCTTATTCTGAGAAAGAGGGCTAAACAGTAAATAGCCTACAATTTGCATAAACCGAAGTCTACCCATAGCCTCCCATACAGTTTAGTGTGGAATCTGTGTTCTCTTAAGCCAGGACTGATTGATCTTTCTAGGAAACTCACAGTGTTGCAAGAGTGTACTGGGAGAAAGCATTCCAAACTCCCAATCTTTTCAGGGTCCCACAGCTTGAATTTTTGGGCTCTCCCACTAAGATAGATATACACACAGGACAAGGTTATTAAAATGGTAAATATGTAGGTAAGTAAAAAATGTATAGAACATATACTTTGTATACTCTCTAAAATGATTTATGAAAGAAAAACTTATAGCACCATATTTATGAGTCATAATGCATAAAATATCATATATAAACACAATTGTATTAAAAATATATGGACCGAGCATATGGATCAATTAATATTTTACTTGCTTGGCAAATACGAAGGCCTGAGTTGAATTAATTCTACCAAAAAAATTTAAAAGGGCAATAGATATAGGGTTTGGAATGTGGCTTATGAGTAGAGTTGCTTGCTTAGCATGCATGAAGCCCTGGTTTTGATTCTTCAGTACCACCTAAACAAAAAACAAACAAACCTGGAAATAGCACTGTGGCTCAAGTGTTAGAGTGCTATACTTGAGCAAAAGAAGCTCAGGGACAGTGTACAAAGACTCCCTCCCCCTCCCAAAAAAACTATAGAATTATAATTATGTTAAACTATCATTTCTCTTGAAAAAGTAATACTACTCCTGCTAACTGACAGGAAAAAACAGACAAAAAGTCTGCAGGAACACACACATCGATGGCATTATTTGAACCTAAATGCTATTTTGTGGTGTTGCATTTACCAGGATTGAAACACTGAGAGCAAATCT